GTAATATATTTACTGAGAAAAATGGTGACGTGTTCAATACTTATTTTACCCGCTGTAAAAGCCTTGGATGCTCATCAGTTTTTTGTTGCTGGATGGGTTGACCGGGACAGGACAGGGTGCTACTGTTACATGGAGGGACAAGATATCTCATAATGGTGAAGGTAAGACTTGCTTGTTAAAGCTAATGTATTTTTATTTGCTGATTCTATACGTGATTCTAGATGTTTTTCGGGTTACTGAGCACCTCAAAGCAGAGAGCCGACAACGCGGCTAGCAAGCTAACAAGCTAATAGCTTCTCTTCATGTAGCTTCAGGTTACAACAGCGCTCCGAGCTGCGCTTCTTTCTGTTCGATATTTATCTGAAATGATCCGTTCCCAGTGAAATTAAGAAGATGAACAGATTTGATGATCAGCTGGTCTGATTTTATGACCACCTGAATGTGCAACTTGTGTTTACTCCATCAAGGTGGAATAAATAAATAAAATCTCCTCTGACCTTTCACTCAATAACACTGATTCAACACTGAGTAAAAACAACTATATTTCCAGCTATCACTGTTGTTTATATCTTCACTATGACACAGAGTGCTGCAGGTGGGCAGACGGACAGATTATAATATTTTACAACCAGCACCGCAGCGGTCCGAAACCGGAGAGACACTCCGGTCCGGTTAACCTGAGAGTCTCCAGATCAGCCAACTGTGCAGCAGCTGAAGACCATTTTTACAGCTAAATCAACAGGAGGAAAGAACCATATTAGGCTACCAACTGCCTGATTCTCCTCTAGCTCAATAGTATCTCATGGACACATGTCTGTTTCTGCTGTTCAACATGGAAAAAAGGGGCGGTCTTCTGAGGCACATGACGTCACGTGCAAAGGGTCAATATAAAACCCTGAATGCCCTGGCTTATACAAACAACTAGAACATACTGCTTCCACCATGGGTCTATAGATGTTCTAAAAATCTCTAGCCTGTTATTCATTAATTTTTTTCTTATTTTGTGTTATGTACTGTTATGCATTGGTTGCCATATACTTGTTTTTATTCTAATTTACTGCATTTATTTTTTGTTTTGCTTAGTTTTGCTCTACTTTTTCCACTGTGTTGTTTAGTTTTTGTCTATTTGCTTTGTTAGTCACTGTGTGAACCTCTGTGTTTAACCACTGCTACATGAGAGATGAGCTGACTGGACTGGAGTTGTTTTATTCCACCTTACGTTTGTTAACTCGCATACATTCTCTGCACAATTTATCAAAAACTAATCGTCATTGCGTTAACAGCCTCTGCAATAGGCATATCGCAACAACTGCATAAACTGCAGTAAGTGGTTGGTTCACAAGTTTGCATTTAGAGGTTTTGTCACTCAGACAGAAGCTTGAAGTATTTCAAATGGAGTATGTATGTATTTGGCCAATTGGATGGGTC